GCATTAGCACAATCAAATGATGGTATTCTGCTAACTAGAAACTTCTATAAAGACAGACTCTCATTAACTTTGGGTATCCTGAAGTATAAGTGTTGAAGAAAGGAAAAGAAATGCTTGATTCGTTTTCCATTATATGTGAGTTTTAACAATAATGAGTTGGTTTTCTAGCATCCTTCAGAGATGCCCGATGAGGCTTTGAACTTGGTAACAGGAAGGTCGGCCTTTGAATCCACTATCCACTTGGTGGGAGAAAGATGATGCAGCCCATAAAGATGGACAGTCTTGGAGACCTTGTGGAGGGTCCCCAGGACTTAGAATGATAGGGATAGCAGTGGGTTAAAGCGTTATTCTAGACTTTAGACCTAGATCTTGTGTTTAAGGCAGTCTGAGTCTTCCCTTGACTATTGTTAACTGTCTTCAAGTGGATTCCACCACATGACAGTTTATATACAACATTCCCCCAATATGCAGACAGTAGAGTAGGCACATGGCAGATGAAGCGGTATACTTTGGAACTCCAAGTGGGCAGTATAAGAGGAATACGGAGGGGGGGAAAGCCAAGAAAGGAGAAAAGAAATGCTGACTCAAGCCACACTAGCTGAGAGATGATTGTGATGGAATATAGTTCCTAAGGTGAAAAACATCCTGAAAATAAGAATAATGGTAATAAATAATGGCTGCAATTGCTCACCTGGCTGAGACCCCAGCCTCACATCATTCTGGGTGTCAGGCACTTCTCTAAACACGCCACATGTTCTCTCATAGTTTTCAAGTGGGATCCAACTCAAAGGTGACCAGCCCTCTTTGACATTTCCTAGGCTTTCCAATGCAAAGGAGGAGATTGCCCACCTTTCTCCCATGGAACCACTGGTGGATTCGAACCACCGTAGATGGGAAGCTCAGCTCCCTACATGCTGTAGCCACCACATGTGTTAACATGAGGAACATAGGTCCCCAGGTGCCACAAATGGTTTGCACTTACCTGCTCACCCAGAGTTTAGCAGTTGAAAGACATGTGGCAGTGCTATGACGGAAAAGACTAGCAGTCAGCTCCTGTAAAGATTACAGCCTTAAAAAGTCTATAGGGCAGTTCTCTGTAATAGGTCCTCTTGAGTTGGGATCAACTCTGCAGTTGTGTTATTTGGGGTTTTTTTGGTGTTGTTTTTGTTTTAAATGAGGTATTGATTCTGACTCATGGTGACCCTGAAGGACGGAATACTCTTTTTTTGGAAGCTGACCGCTACAGCTTTCTCCTATGCAGAGGCTGGTGGTTTCAAACGGCTGACCTTTTGGTTTGGCAGCCAGGCCCTTTATCCACTCCACCACCAGGCCTCCTCTTTTATGTGGTAGACACTGACATTGGTCCTATTTTAGAGGTGCAGGAGTCCAGGTGGATTGACTCCACACTCAGTGCCATCCACCTTGTCTGTCTTAGGCCTTAAAGGTTTTTTTTTGTTTTTTTTTCTATATTTTATTAATTTTCATAAACATTTACAGAGATTTTGGGTTTCCATTCATTCCTTGTTGCACTATTCCCTCTACCCTCCTCCCAGTTTGTTCTTGTCCAAATGCCACAGTGCTTGTCAAAGCCAGTTCTGATTAATCTTCTTTGTCAGTGTGTCCTTTGCCATTCCCTTTCACTCCTCCCTGAGAGAGACTTCACCCTGATTAGGCCTTAAAGTTGTGTAGCTCCTCGCACATCCCTGAGGGCGCTTCATCCTAGCAAGGATAAACTTTATATGCAGAGTGATAAAAGAGCAGCTGTCATCAGCCCATTTTACAGATGGGGAACAGGTCTAAAGAACTGAGTGTGTGAGTTGCTCACAAGCCCTTTGCCACTTAGTGGCCCTAGCAGATCTTGAAACTGAGTGGCTAATACTTAGGTTTGCATACAAGTCAAACTCTTTGAACCTTCTGGACGATATTTCCCTTAAAGCACTGTGAACAAGGTGGTTTCTTTTCCCTTTACGAGGGTCCAAACTTCGGGGGTCTGGTAAACAAGGAGGTTTTACTAAGACCTTTCTGGGCACGGCTCTGCCTTCCTGGAGCTGCTCTCTGGCTGTTGCAGTGTGAATCTGGCCCTGCACGGAGGTCAGCTGTCCTTGCCCTTGCATGAGCGGCTGCAGACCAAGTTTAGAAGCAGTAAGGCGGCTGGGTCAGGGGTGCTGGAAAAGTTGGGTAGAAATGGTCTCTCTCTTTGCTGACTCCTGGCCTGATGGCTTAGACCTTTTTTAGATGTCAGGAAACATAACAATATGGTACATTTATCTTGGTGAATAATGGATGAGCCCCAGGAAGATACTGTACTTTTCTTGGTGAATTATTTACCAGGAGCCTCTAATTTGAGGACTTTCCATTTATAAGTGGCCGGAATCCAGTATACATCCAGAATATATAGAGCCCCTCCCATCTCTTCTCACTCCCCCTAACTTGCCTGTCTGCTGGCAAGCTGATCCCTATCCTTCGGGTCTCATGTGACTTTGGACAGCCTTGTGGGCTCATAGCTGGGGCTTCCTGGATCTGGAGCCCCCACAGCCTCTGGGAGGATGACAGGAGGAGTGAGAGGGCCCCCGGCTAGAGACACAGGGACAGGCCTGCCAGGTGGTTTACTTAGCCAGGGGGCAACAGCAAGGAAATGTGGAGGCCGAGGCTTGCTCTCCAGGCGTGAGGAGTGCTGTGTGCTCACTGATGCACCAGCACGAGAGTGTGTGTGCGTGCACGCGTGTGTGTGTGCACACAGTAAGCCCTTGTCTTTTTTGCTCCTGTCTCTTTATGACTTTGTGTTAGTTACTCCGTTGTTCCCTTTTAGTTAATCTATATCCTTGTGTCTAATTTCTTCTGTATTTTAAAGGGTGTGCCTTTCCTTTTTTTGTCTGTCTTCCTCTCTTTATCTCCCTTTTTCTTACACTGTCTCATGATCTCTATACAGAGTCACTGTCTCCTTCTCCTCCGGCCATCTTTCTCTCCTTATTCTTAAAATCTCTGTTACTCCCTTTCTGACAGTCAATCTTGCCCTATCCATGTCTTTGTTTCTATTTCCCCTCCTCTGTCTCTCTCTCTTTTTTGATCTCTCTGCCTCCTTCACTCTGTCTCCCTCCCTATCAATCTTCCTCTCTCTGTTGGTCTGTCACATGTCTGTCTCTCTTTTGTCTT